GGCTGAGGAGGTTTGGCATGTCACCTAGGATCCTTTGCAACTTCTACAGCTGCATCATTGAGAGCATCTTGACCAGCTGCATCACTGTCTAGGGCCTGCCAGTCAGAAAGTCCAGAGGTGACAGTGGTGCAGTGGGTAGAGCAGTCGTCTCACAACCAGAAGGTTGAAAGTTCGAATCTTGGTGCCGACAGTCCACGTGTCCTTGGGCAAGACACTTTGCCTCCATCGGTTGAGGTAGCGCTGTAGATAGCTGCCATCGGTTCTGTACCAGAAACAAATTCCTTGTGTGTAACATACTTGGCCAATAAATGATTATCCTTATCCTATGGACCGCAAGCGCCTGCAGAGAATGGTAAAGACTGCGGAGAAGATCACCAGGACTCCACTACCCTCTCTGCAGAGCATTTATCACTGCAGAGTGTGTAGGAAAGCTGCCTCCATCCTCAAAGATCCCACCCACCCCCAGCATGGACTGTTCACCTCCCTACCCTCTGGCTGGAGGTTCAGAAGTGTGAAATGTAGGACCACTGAAAAACTCTTTCTTTCCCTCTGCCATCAGACTCCTAAACAGCTGAGGAGTTTATTACCAGGAAATACGTGTTGTACTGTTTACATTCTCAGTTTGCACATGCATAATTGCACACTGACTGTTGACTGCTGCACATGCTGGTCCCATGCAGCATACATTCTCTATTATATTCTTTTATTGTATTGCTGCATTTGTTGCTGCCTAAAGTGTCCTAGATTTTGTGTTACATATTTTGTGTTACTTATTTATCTACTTTATATTTCACTTGTATGTGGATATGACAAAATAAACACTTTGACCTTGAGGCACCTCTTGCACCTCCTAATATTGACAGATATGGTCAGTAAGTGACCTCTAGTGGCCATAGAAATTATGACACAAGCAAAGCAGGAAATGAGGTGATGCAGTATATAGAGCAAGAAAGTCCATTTGAAGAACAGAACGGAGTGGATGGGTGGGTCAGAAAACAGACACAGAAAAGTAGTGTTCTCTTCCAGTGTGGAAATGTTGTGTTTTATCATTTTAACCCAAGCCACAATCGTTAGCTAAACTTAACCATTCAGGTTATGTGTGTAAAATATGTACACTCATTCTTTTTATAATTAAACCTTCTATTAGCTGGAGTAGGGACACAACCTGTAACTATGGTCTGACAACAAATGATAATGGGCCATTTAATGGCATGATAACATCTGAAGAAGGTGTGTGTGTGTGTGTGTGTGTGTGTGTGTGTCCATGTCCAGAACAATGATGTGCAACAACTGTGAATAAAGCAACAAGCTGGAAATGTACATTTTGTGAAAACTTACTGTTGTTATTAGTGCAGGAATAGGGGTGCACCAGGCACCCCCCTCCTACTAAACATACTGTATGTTCCTGTGTGCATGACTGTTGCCTTAATAAAGATAATCACTTTTATCGACCAAATATGTCACACCCACAAGGAATTTGCCTCGGTACAGAACTGAGGCAGCAGTCTGTGGTGTCAACTCACACACACACTGACGATGGCGCTGTCCCTGCAAAGCACTGACCTGGCCTTCTGGTTAGGGGACAATTGCTTTACCTCCTGAGCCATAGCTGCTGCCTTCCATGCAATTAGTTGAAAGGGGTGTGTTAAAAAAATAGCAGTGTGGCATTCAATCAGTGAGGTCATCAATTTTGTGAAATAACAGGTGTGAATCAGGTGGCCCCTATTTAAGGATGAAGCCAGCACTTGTTGAACATGCATTTGAAAGCCTGAGGAAAATGGGTCGTTCAAGACATTGTTCAGAAGAACAGCGTACTTTGATTAAAAAGTTGATTGGAGAGGGGAAAACCTATAAAGAGGTGCAAAAAATTATAGGCTGTTCAGCTAAAATGATCTCCAATGCCTTAAAATGGAGAGCAAAACCAGAGAGACGTGGAAGAAAACGGAAGACAACCATCAAAATGGATCGAAGAATAACCAGAATGGCAAAGGCCCAGCCAATGATCAGCTCCAGGATGATCAAAGACAGTCTGGAGTTACCTGTAAGTACTGTGACAGTTAGAAGACGTCTGTGTGAAGCTAATCTATTTTCAAGAATCCCCCGCAAAGTCCCTCTGTTAAAAAAAAGGCACGTGCAGAAGAGGTTACAATTTGCCAAAGAACAAATCAACTGGCCTAAAGAGAAATGGAGGAACATTTTGTGGACTGATGAGAGTAAAATTGTTCTTTTTGGGTCCAAGGGCTACAGACAGTTTGTGAGACGACCCCCAAACTCTGAATTCAAGCCACAGTACACAGTGAAGACAGTGAAGCATGGTGGTGCAAGCATCATGATATGGGCATGTTTCTCCTACTATGGTGTTGGGCCTATTTATCGCATACCAGGGATCATGGATCAGTTTGCATATGTCAAAATACTTGAAGAGGTCATGTTGCCTTATGCTGAAGAGGACATGCCCTTGAAATGGTTGTTTCAACAAGACAATGACCCCAAACACACTAGTAAACGAGCAAAGTCTTGGTTCCAAACCAACAAAATTAATGTTATGGAGTGGCCAGCCCAATCCCCGGACCTTAATCCAATCGAGAACTTGTGGGGTGATATCAAAAATGCTGTTTCTGAAGCAAAACCAAGAAATGTAAATGAATTGTGGAATGTTGTTAAAGAATCATGGAGTGGAATAACAGCTGAAAGGTGCCACAAGTTGGTTGACTCCATGCCACACAGATGTGAAGCAGTTATAAAAAACTGTGGTCATACAACTAAATATTAGTTTAGTGATTCACAGGATTGCTAAATCCTAGAAACAAAAACGTTTGTACAAAATAGTTTTGTGTTTGTACAGTCAACGGCAGACACTGCTATTTTTTTGAACACACCCCTTTCAACTAATTGCCCAATTGCACAGCCTTAAGAGCGTGCATATCATGAATGCTGGGTCTTGTTTGCTTTCTGAGAATCTACTGCACCTACTGGTAACTTGTTTGCCATGTAGCAATAAAAAATATACTAAAAACCTGGATTATTCTGGTTAGTCACATTGTACTGCTATTATTTTGAACAATACTGTATGTAGTGTCCTGCTTTACTTGTTGCATTGTGTACTGTATGTTGATAAAAGCTGTGACTATGACATGAGCCCTGCTGTATCATGTATGTACAGTCAGAAAGGCTTACCTTCTTCAGTTTCATCACTCCCAAAGTGTCTCCTGTAGCAGAGCATGAGCTCCAGGTTGTAACACTTATAAAGTGCTGTTAGGACTCCCAGCAGCAGCAATATGACCCCGAGACCTCCAGCCAATTCCAGGCGATACATATCTACAGTAAGAGTGGGAGAGTGAGGAGAGGATAGATGAGATTTATTGTGTATCAGACAAACAATCTTGTGAGAGTCAAATACTAATGGTAAAATAAAAACAGAATAATCACCTATGTTTCCCTGGTATCTTACGGTTTGAAATTGCATGACTGCATATCAGTTTTGTTTGGGCTGATTTTCTCTGTTACTTTTTAACAGAGTGGTTTGTTCACATCTGGGTAAACAAAGTCAATCTTCAACAATTTGACTTCAGGAAATATAAAAACAAAAACTTAAATGACCTTCAAATTGGCAGATTTTCTGAATCAGATAAAGGCTGAAACTCCTTCTCTCACACAGATAAATGCACAAACTGCTGATATTGGCTTTTCATTTGATGTAATTTCATTGATGAACCACAACTGTGTTCAGAGGCTTTGTTAACTGTTCGTGCCAATAAAACACACTGGACTGAATTAAATCGACTAAAAGAGACAAGACTCCCTAACTGCATCACTGAGACATGCTGTAGAATCAGAAAACCAGCTGTCGAAAGCTAAATAATTAGGAGCAGCGAATAATAAATGTTTGCTTCATTTGCTCATATAGCGGCTAAATTCTTGTGGACCTGTCCTCTTCAACAGGGAGGTCAAAGGTGAGAGACTAAATGAACATCACAGTTAAACACTTCATTAAAGCTCAATGAGGCAATATTTTTAATGTCAGAATTGAATGACATGATTCCTTGTGACATTAAAGAGCTGCAAGAAGTACTAATTTCACTACGTATTAATAAACCACTCTGCAGCCCTGTGCAGCTTCAGTGGCTCACTCACTGCTTTGGTTCATCAGCCCAGTGAGTCAATCATTTAACAGAGCCAAAGATGGCAAGATATGTTAGACTGGAGATAAAACACAGGTGGCCTTTCATTCAACAGGCGGCAAAAAGAAATGCTTTTGATGTAGTGAACTTATAGTGTAGGTTATGCTTCTTGAATCAAAGTGGAGCAGACAGAAGCAGAGGCACCACTTCAGAAGTTTTCTACAGAACTGCAGAGTATAAGTTGGCAAAAACACACAAAGGTAAACCGCAACACAAAGTATGCTGCCGTGACTGAGAGAGACAGATGATCTCACATCAGCATGTTTGGACAGACACACACACACACAAGACCTCAGCTTGTTTGAGATTGTGCGCAAATGTGTGAATGATAGTGCTATCATCTGCAATACGAGTGTATGGAAGATTAATGGAACACGGCTGGTGAATGACAGCGCAGGAAATATGATCTATTACTATCACACACACACACACACACATACACACAGACACTGACCTGCCAACTCATCCCATGCCTCTGATTTTTTTCTGGAACCACTTTGAAACCATTGATTTGGAATAGTAATTCAGTTTCAGTGAGGGACAGTATATGTCTGATTATCAAAGCAGCAAAAGTGAAATTGTTTTTAACTAAACCAAATCCTTGTTTTTTAAAATTCTAAATGTATTCAGTCTGATGGATTGGCAACCTGTCCAGGGTGTACCCCGCCTTCACCCGATTGCCAGACGCGGGATTGGGTCCGGCCCCCCCCCCCGTTCAGGGATTAAGCGGTAGAAAATGAATGAATGAATGAATATTCAGTCTGAATAAGGCTATAGTCCTTTCCTCTGTGCCTTCCTGCAAGCTTGTTCTAGGAGATCCTGTGGTCTGAGTGCTACCACAGCTGCAAAGTAGCTTTGGGTCGCCACCTGGGAGCACAGCGCCACCTATTGGTCTAAGATATAGAAGTTCTAATATAAAATGCATTTTATATTTCTGGATAAATAACAGCTTAAACATTTAAATGTAATCACATTTACAGTAAAACTCTTGCGTGATAAATAAAAGTGAACAAGCTTCTTTGTTCTCTTGTCAGTTTTGTGTCTGTGTCACAGTGTAAGCTCCCACTTACATGTTACTGTTAATGTGACATTTCTTAGAACTGTAACTCTGTTGTTTAACCGAAGCCGTCAGTCAGAGTTGTGGTGATTACACAGGCTTTCAATCATGAGCTCAGTTTTAATACTGTAGTGTTTCACAGACTGTAGAAAGCACAACATTAAAAGGGTTCAGTACAGTACCAGAAATGGTTAATTTGGTGAAAGAAGTACTGAGTACTCATAAGTAGAAGTAGCACAATGTAAAAATGCACCAGTCCTGCATTTGAAATTTTATGTAAAACTACAAGTGAGGACAACATTATTTAAAGTGCAACAGGATAACTTCTGTCAGTGCTACAGTATATTATTACATTCTATATTATATAAATTGTTATTATTGATGCATTAATGCTTATACAGCATTTTAATTCTGTAGTTGGTCAAATCCACAGGGATGCAACATGTTTTATAAATTAATCATATGTTTTTTTTTATCTGTGACTACAAATGTCAAATACATGTAAATGTACTGTAGTGGAGTAAAAAACACAACATTTCCCAGCATCGAAATACAACAATTAATGCCACAGCCTCCACCAATATTTTAAAGCTACCAAAATAAAAGCTGAGGAGATAGCTCTAATCATCTGTGGCTGCTACCCACATTGTTTTGTACAACATGTATAATATTCTGTGATTTTGATATTCCTGTTTCCAGATGTTTCACATTTTATCCACAAGCTGTGGAATAAGTATCATCATATTCTGGCCTACCGGTAGTCTGCCTCTCACAAAGTTTAGGCTTAGTGCTGTTTTGGTGAGTACCAGTTGTGTTGATTTGATCTTTTCTCCTCTATCTTGTGTGTTTGCTTTGTTCTGTGAAATAATTTCCCACAATGCACCCATTAGTTTTTTTATTGACCACCACAGTACCTTATATACTGAAGTTACAGTACCACAAGTCACCAGTAGATGTCTCTCCAGCTCTACTCTCAACAGCTACACCTCTTTTACTTGTATTCAAATAAACTATATGGTAGAAAGAAGACAGCGAGATGAAGAGCTGGAGCAATGGTCTGAGGGGCGAAGAATAATAGTGAAATTTAATTAATTGCCAAATATTTGCTCTACAGTTAGGTGAACTAATATTACTTCCATTTGTAATGAGACACATTCAGAAACCTCTTTTCTTTTTGAACCTCCCCTCGCCTCCATCCAAGTCCCTCTCGTCCCATGTTCCTCTCCTCCTCTCTCTGCTCTCCCCTTCACTCGATCACCACTGCCCACATCATCTTTTTTCAATATTTCCCATTAGTAATGAGTCATTTGTCACCATCTCCTGATGTCAGTGCACAGGAAAACGGGAGCAGAATTTGAATGTTTAATTTTAAGCATGCTTTGTACTTATTAGACATGAAGAGAGTAGTCAGTGATGAGGGTGATGTGTCTGCATGTGTTGGCAGGAACATGGTAAAAAAATGTTCTGACATTCTCTTCCTCTCTGTTTGAAACCAACATAATGTCACACGGACACCACCTTGTTAAATTCCATAGCTTTCTTTTTTATGGTCAATTCCTCTGGCATTTCAAATTTGCTTCTAAAGCAGAATTTCAAAAATAACATCAAAACAGCTTTAAGATTGTTTTATAAATGTACAACCTGCCTCAGGAGCCACAAGATGCTGTAAGATACAACACCTCTGATGACCACTAAACTCTGCTACTGTTGAAATGATTAGGAGAACCCTGGTGTCTTAGCATCACTGTAAAAAAGTGCAAACTAAACAATTTAAGTTTCCCTGTTGTGTTAAAAATATACATCAGCTGAGCTAAACTTGAAGATTTATTTCAAAGATGGCTCATGGATCCTGAAAATATTAAATTCACAAAGCTTGAGAAGTTCCCTGAACTACTAAGTTCTGCTAAGTAACTACTAAGCTCAGTCGTCAACTGGTTAGTCACAGCATTACATGTCATTAACGGTGTGTCTCCTCTCTCCCTGTACCTTTCTGCAGGTAGCCCTGGCTGTGGAGCTCTATGGTTCTGATCAGCAGTCACCGGCCACATCAACCTGTCCAGTGTTTGATTGTTTGTTGTTGTGTTTGTTGTGTCTTGTTGCTTTTCTTTTTTCTCCCCTCTATCCATTCACCCCAACCGGTCAAGGCAGAAGGCCGCCCACCAAGAGCCGGGGACTGTTGGAGATTTCTTCCGTTAAACGGAGTTTTCTCTCCCCGCTGTCGCCAAGTGCTGCTCAAGGGGGTTTATTGGGTTCCCGCTAATATACTACTACTACTACTACTACTACTAATAATAATAATAACAATAGTAGCAGTAGTAGTTAGGGCTAGACCATAAAGTGCCCTGAGATGATTTTTGTTGTGATTTGGTGCTATATTTATAAAATATATTTGAGAAAAGTGAGTTAATTACAGCCCCATTCTTCTTAAAGGGCTGCCTTTTTCAAACCCCAAGCCTTTATTTTGTAATGCAGGCTCTGTGTTAACAGTTTCAGGTTCGACCTGAGGCTTGTGAAAACTGAACTTCATGAGTAAATTGGTGCCCCATTAAATTATTACTGTTACTACAGTATTGTTGTACACCGCCCCCTGAAAGCCGTTAGTTTTTTTTTTTTTTTTTTTTTTTTTACTAAAAGTCAGAACAAAGACAAAATAGTTTATTTACTGCTCTAAAGTGAGTCTTGATGGTGATTTTGAAATGAACTGAATCAGTCTTCACTCATGGCAGCCCAAACTCAAAGCTTCAGACATCTCTGGGTGACATTAAAGAACTATGTCCATCTGTCCTATTTTTTCCACTTTCTATCAATCCCTCCTCTCTCCTGTCAGCTTTCAGTATCCCTCCCTCCATTTTTCTTTCTAGTAAGACTCTTGTCATGCTGGCTGAAGGCAGCTCTTTCTGCTCTGTCAGTTGCAGTAAGTGGATGTGTGTGTGTCTGTACTATAGGTGTGTGCGTGTGGGAGAAAGAGAAAGTTGGTCTATGTATACAACATAGACGCATCAACCCATTACCTTCGGTCACTGCAGGGTGAGCGCACCCCCTAATTCAATCGCACACACTCAGTGCATGAAATCAAGCTTAGCTAAACTGTGCTAACTTAGGAAAACCTGTGCTTTGTTTAGGCTGTCATGTTGTGGTCGGCCGCTCTAATGTGACCTTTTTGGCTTCAAGGCCTCAGGCCAGGAGGTGCCAGAACAGTCTGCTGGCTAGTTACTCCTGGTGATTTAGGTCAGTAAACTTTTTAAAAGTAGCTAACACAATAGGTGGAACACTAACTTTGGTGATTTGTTCAGTTCATTTTGTTGCATTCAGTTCAAAGATTAATCGTCACTGAATATGTGGTTGGTTCTTTTTATTTATTTCAACACTGTGATTACATCATTATTCAGAAGACCATAACACTATGGTGCTGCCATGGACTCAGCTTCTTGTTCAAGCAATTCCTGAATTATTTCAGTACAATGTAGGACCATAAAAGCACCAATGATATGGATAAAAGCTCAGCAGACACCTACTGTATCTACACAGAGACAGCACAGACTTAGAAGACTGTTAGTGGGTTGGGAGTGAGTTGCTGCCCCAGTTGGGACATCCGGGAGGTGCTCAGAGTAGAACTGCTGTTCCTTTACATTGAAAAGGAGGCAGTTGAGGTGCTTTGGGCATCTTTTCAGGATGCCTCCAGGGCACACCCTGTTTGGAGGTTGTCCGGGCATGTCCATCTGGTAGGAGACCCTGGGGGAGACCCAGAACACTCTGGAGAGATTATATATCTCATCTGGCCTGGGAAAGCCTCAGAATCCTGCCAGAGGAGCTGGAACATGTCGCCAGGGTGTCTGTGGAACTGCCTTGAGACCAAAGTGGGGAAGACCAAAGAGCTGGTGGTGGTGGACTTCCACAGGTGCAGACACCCTCCTCCAACACCAGTGAAGCTCCAGGGAAAGGACATTGAGGAACTGGATTCTTATAAATACCTGGGTGTTCACCTCAACAACAAACTGGACTGGTCAAGCAACACTGATGCACTTTACAAGAAAGGCCAGAGCGGGCTCTACCTGCTAAGGGGACTAAGGTCATTTGGAATGCAGGGGACACTCCTGAGCACCTTCTTTGATACAGTAGTGCCATCAGTCATCAGTTATGGAAAGGTCTGCTGGGGCAGCAGCATCATGATCGTGGACAGGAAGAGGTTACACAAACTGATCAGGAGGACCAGCTCTGTCCTGGGAGGTACCCTTGGCCCACTGCAGGCAGTGGCTGACAGGAGGATGTTCACTAAGCTAGCATCCCTGCTAGAGAAGGACTCCCACCTCGTGCATGAGACTCTGACAGCACTGGGCAGCTCTGTCAGTGACAGACTGCTTCACCCCAAGTGCGTGATGGAGTGTTATCGCAGGTCCTTCCTTCCTGCTGTTGTCAGGCTGTACAACCAGCATTGATCCCAATAGATCTCCCCTCCCCCGGAGTTGACCCTGCACACTACAGACTGTAAAGCTGTGAATGTTCAGCATTTCACTGTGCAATTTCAGTCTTACTTTTACTTATTATTTTTACATTGCTTTTATTAATAATACCTTGTCTGTTGCTTTTATTCTTAATGCTGAGTCCATTGTTTCCATCCCTCTGTTGCTGTCGCTTTGCAACTGTCCCCATTGTAGGATTAATAAAGGCCGGTCTTATCTTATGTTATGTTAAAATTCTCCATACAGCTGAGCTGTGAAATAACTTGATGATGGTTTACAACTATTAGAAAGTCATTTTATAGTACATTTCACATATACATTTGACCTACTGTTAAGATGCCCATAAACACATGCTGCACATGGAGAGTCTCTATTTCCAAAGTCCACAGCATTCCCAAATATGTTTTGCTAGATGTTATGGGTGGTATCATTTGAGGCTTCTATCTACTTGGGTATTTCACCGTGTTTTTATGTACACAGTATGTGTTCCCTTATACTGTATGTGTGTGTGGTAGTGCACCACATTACACATAATTCCTCTCGAGTAGAATGCGTGTTTCCATGTAAAGATATGTGTGAGGTCTAATCACACACATGCACAAACATGCTGTAAACTATAGCAGTTCTGCCTATTGCTTTTGTGTAAAGCCAATACATTTGAACACACACACACACACACACACGGTTTGCTGTGTTCTCACATATGTAATTAGACTGTTAAGTACTTCCTCTGGAGGTGTTTGTCTGTAGCATCCTTGTGGGTGTGTCTGCTTGCCACAGTCCCTGGGGTGCTACTTAAGTATAGTAAGATAGATTTGACACCCAAGGCATTCAGCAG